GCCCCAACCGCCGCGCGCCGAGACTGCGAATTCCGGACTGGCGCTGTCGGGCGCACTAGATCTCCGAGAAAACGGAAAGTTACGATCTGTATTGGGCGCAGACACAGGTTGAGTACTCCTCGAGTGCATCTTAACTAGAATTTGAAAGGGATATCACATCATTGCTAGGTGATACTAAAATTCTAAGCCGACTTTTTAAATTTTATAGAATTGTAATTACCAGTTTTTTTGTTTGTTTTTTTTCAAATTCGAAGGCCTTTCGGTTTTTTATTGGAATTTAAAATACTGATATTTCAACAATTACATTTTACATAGAATGAAATACGCGTTCATTGTAGTTCATGATGAATTATAAGCAGTACGAAAAAGATAATTTAGTCTCCTACCCCAAAAAACCTCGCTAAATCGCTGCTCATTCCGGCAATGCCGTGAGCATGATTTGCGGGATGCGATATATCTCGTTCTCTCTTCCCGCCGCCGCCGCCGCTGCAACGTGTGCGCATGCGCATTCGGCGCGTCCATTTTCGACACATCGCAAGCTCGCGCGCGCTAGCGGAGGCGAATTCTCAGGGGCGTGCGACTTGGGAAACCGCTCTGCGTCTCGTCTCGTCTCGTCCCTTCTCGCGTAACAAGCCCCGAAGGAGTGACGCAAAGAGGCGAGCGCGCGCGAACGCCGAGGCCGAGCAACGACAAGCGGCAGAAACTGGAGATCGTGCCGAAGACGTATACCTCTGACGGTCCTCAAGCGTGTACGTAACAATTCGCGAGTTTTCCTCGTCTCGTGCAGATTCCAGGTTTGAGTTGTAACTCCTGAAGAATGCGAATGGAAAGGGAATGGGACCTTGGAATTTCGGATCGGAATGGGAAAATAAAGAAGTGTTCACGGACGGTTTCCAAGCTCTGACTTTTATGCGCAATCTGTCATTTTAATACGATTGCATTCACAAGTAGAAGTATAATTTCTCAGTTAGCGGCTCTCATTAATTCAATGCAACCTTGATGTTTTTGAAGAGCAATAATGAATCGAACATGTACTAATTTGTGGTGGTTCTATTATTTATGATGTGTCACTTTATTTTTTTCTAAATTATCGTTAAAAGAAGGTTCGTGACAGGTCTTTGAAACTTCAAGAGTTGCTAATATCATTCCTTCAGTATTATGCATCTCCGCGTCCGTTTTTCTCTTTCGCAGAGAGTATTCAAACACGTTCTAGTCGCAACGTTGTGTTGCTTCGGCGAGTATTCTCTGGCTTGGCTGCCGCGCCGGTGCCTGTGCCTTCTCGAGCTGTTCCCACGCGACGAGGTCGTCTGCATGGATGAGGCGAGGGGGCGGGAACCTACCCCCCACCCCCGTCTTCACTCGCCTTCGCCGTCCTCGCCAACCGCCCGCCGCCCCCGCTCGCGCCGCTCACTACTCATCTCCGCCGCCACCCATAACCCAACCCGCCTCCGACCGCCGTCGGCGTAACGCCGCATGGCCGCGCTCTGCTCCCAGACGAGCGGCTCGCGCTGGCGTGAGATTGCTGGTATCGCCGTCGCAACCTTTGGCTCGGCACGCGCGCTCGTAGCGCCAGTGCGGA